AAGTTTGGATTAGGGGACTATTTGGAGCGTCGGCAGTGCAGTTGGCGCTTGACCGGATCATATTTTACATATCCAGGTACGATCTCCGCTATATAGTAATGAGTTCTTCGAATTTCATGATAACATCCATCAGACATTCTTACTTTAATTACAAATTGCATACAACTGCATAGAAATTCAAAGATATGTGCGAAGTCAACCAACCCTCACTGGCTCTGCATTGTTGAATAAGACCTAGTCGCATTCTTGAGGGTAGGCTCCGAGCTCCTCAGTGGAGTATAGTGTGTCCGTATAGTGAGCTTGATGATGACGATTTGTTTTGCTTCAATGCATATTGTCTTGTTAGCAATTTTCTAAATATTTTACCAACAGAGAGGAGCTAATCTCTCTCCAGTGTTATTCTATTTCTCAAGACAAGAGTGGCACTACTACTCCAGTTCTATCAGAAAATATGATCTATCAAATAAACAAACTGGAACAAATAAGCATTTATCAAAGTTGGGGTATTTTGTTGGTGAACTAAACAATAATGGTATTATTACGAAAGCAATGAGCATTATGTTGCGTTCTTAAAACATGTTCGCTTTAGTCAGAAGATTAAATAAAGTTGCAATTAACGAAATTGTTTTATTTTTCCAAAATTGTTTTCCCTCGAATAATACTTTCAAACGTCAAAACGGAAATTGACAGATTGATTTTTTTAGGTTGGTAGCAACGTAGACTTGTTCATAATATTGCTAGCATTGAAAATGTCAATTTTTATTCTCTGTTTGTGTATCTAATTAGTCAAGAGTCCCGTCTCTTATTTTATATACTCTTTGGTTAAGACTTTAATAAATTTAATTTTTGAGTTTTTCGTACTGATATATTGATAAAATTCATGTGTGAATTGGCAATCAAACTTTCTGCTTTTTTGGTGAAGTAGTATCCGAACAATTTCAACATGAAGTGAAGCAATCATCCAATCATCTGTTATCTGTCATCTGTCATTTCTTAATGTTTCGCATTCAAATCGATATTCTTGACTATTTTATAAATGTAATATTAACTTAATGCAATGCAAATTTAATGTAAGAATTCGTTTTTTGAATTTTTAGAGGGACTTTAAGGTGTCCAAAAGTAGTCGAGGGATGATTCATTTGAGAGATCGCTTGTAAATCGATATTAAAGTGGCAAAGAGTTTTCTTGTAACGCTTGAACGGATTTTAGTTACGGAAATGAGACTATTTGTGTTGGAATCGGACCGAAATCGATCGTAATGGATTTATCTCCCGACGAGGATAATTTCCAAGGAAGGCTGCTGCACCAGGTACTGTTGGAAAATGATTGAAATTAATTTAGAATGTAGATTAAAATTACTCTTCGTTAGACGATTTATTATTTGAGAAAACCACTATAAATTACTTTAATTGTGGCTGTAAGCTCTAGTAATATGTGCACGCTTAAGCAATTATCTTCAACTTTAACTTTGTTTTAATTTCAATATTTTATACAATGTTATTTTATATGTACCAATAGTTTGGTTAAGTGCGAAATTCTTAATGTTTATTTTTATCATTTCTATAACTTTTAGTTAATAATAAATAAGTCTTAATAGTTTAATACAATTTTATTTTATTAATAATAATAAAGTTAATTAATAGAAAATGTCATATTTTCTTAGTAAAAAACCTTATTTTCCAATGTTAATAAACAAAATCATTTAAAGTGACAATTCTCAAAATAAACTTTGGCTTAAAATACCTGTAACTAAATCGGAGTATAATAAATTAGAAAAAAATAACATGTAAGCTTTTAGTACACCTTACAACAAGACAAGTAAAGCTTATGTAAACTTACATAAGAATAAATATCAAACATTCACATGCATTATTTACCTCTTTTATTACATAATTTTGTTGACAAAAACATAATTTAAATTTAAAGGTTGTTAAACTGAAATTTGTAAAGAAGAATTTTAATGATCAACATATAAAATTAATCCTCTCATCCCTCACATAAAATTATGTAAAATGTCTTTAAACTGGTTAGAAAAACATGCAGTTGCATAAGTTAACAGCAAAACTCACTTAAAACATGTTCCAAAGACAATGACTGATAAAGGTTTCAACCCGTAAGGTCATTCACAGGGTGTTACACAATCCTTTTTCCTTTTTTTATTTATTCTGTCAGATGATTCACAATTTTTGTTCTTATACAGACCATAAACATGAAAATATTTTTTTTATTGTAACATGATATAAATAATAATATAACATTTAAATTTGGTCTTGTAATTTTTTAAACAAACAGTTATTTTTTCAAAATTATATAATTACCTTACATAAAACTGTAATTAAAACGTTATATTAAGTCTTAATATATGAATACTTCTATAACTAAATATGTTATAAATAATCATATTTAAGTTGTTGGCTGTACAAAGAGATATCTGCTTCTGACGAATATACACGTACGTCAATAATATGACGTCAGAGATCTGCGACAAAAGTGTGCACTGACCTCTATAATACGATAGTATTTAGAGGTGAGTGGTGGTGCATGTCTAGACAGCACATGGCTAGCTTAGCACAGCATTGCGTAGTTTGAGTGGATGGTGGGTGTCAGGCGGCGCTGTGGGACAACGAGCAGCTGCTGCGGGAACTGCTCGCGTCGGGCGCAGCGGTGGATGCGCGCGACGCTAGCGGGCGTACAGCGCTGCATGCCGCTGCGTTGGCTGAACGCAGCGCCTGCCTCACCGCGCTGCTCGATGCTGGCGCGGATGTGAACGCCACCAGTGACGCTGCAACCGGCGGCGAGGTACGCTTCACGCTATGTATTCTGCTGGTTGATTTTGATTCAACTTATTTTTTGCTTATGATAAAAATACAATAGTATCATAGAAGTAAATCGGATGAACCTCTCATGTATAATATATAGTGAGAGACCTCTAGCGAGTACAATTTCGGTCTTGATATACGGAAAGTCGCAGTGCTTGGAGTTTTGCTTGTTCAGGTTCAACTGTATAGGGTTGATTTCGATGTGAAATCAATGTCTATCTAATGTGATACATTAAGGATTATCTAAACAGTTTTGCATGAATGAGTCACATCTACGTTTAGTAGTTGTGAATGTTTGCAACCTATTACTTAAGAAAATTGTTCAAAAGTTTTGTCATTCAAATCTTAACACGTTAGCTGCTAGAATGATTTTTCGAAAAACGAAAAATTTTTTTTTTTAATTTTTGTCCAAAACCATTTGAATGGGCCCTTGTGGGTCAGCTGTATATAGCAATTCGATTAAAGGCCACAGCGAGGTGTTGAATGGAAGTATGGCTTGTCGGACACACAGTCCGACATGGCAGCTAACGTGTTAGTCATACTAAATACACCCCAGGTCCCTGACCCAAAAATATTAGGGGGAACGAGAGGGTAGCATACAGCCGCCCATAAAAACGTTGTTAAATACAACAATACAAAATTTTGATTGTTAGATTCTTATAAGAATCATAATTCAAATTATTTCTTTGATGTATATTTGTAAATACACATATATGTATGTATTTATTCCATTCTTAAATAAAGCATAATATACTATAACACGTGTGCATCAATACTCACACATACGCAATTACGCACACGTCCATACACTTGTAGCCAAAATACAATACGAGTACGAGTTAATCTATACAACATCACAATAAAGAGACGAAAGGAACCCTAATTCTGACCCATTGCGTAGATGGTCAGTGACCCTCTGATCATGTTATACGGACGAGTTAACATAACATTTTTTATTCACCCTTTTTCGGAGCATAAAAGTAGTTTTTAGCACCTGATGTATAAGACCTTGGCTCAGGGTCGTCACTTCCTTATAAACATCGGGGTTTTTAGTTTACATTAGCTGCAACATGAGCTGTGCGAATGCACTGCACATACTGTTCTAATGGGTTCTAACAATTCGGTGCGTCTTTTTATAATTACATTACTCTTATTTTGTTATGTCATTTGTATACACTGTATGAAAGTCATCTTTACTTATGTCTTAGGATAGGATCCGTGATTTATTAGCAGCTAATGTAATATTTGTCCTATAGACGGCGTTGCACGTAGCGGCGGCGCGCGGGCACGCGGAGAACGTGCGCGCGCTGCTGTCTGCGGGCGCGCGACCCGAGCTGACGGACGCGGCGGGAGACACCGCACTGGCGTTGGCCGAGCGCGGCTGCCACAGGCACGCTGCTAATGAACTTAGAGAGGCTAGAGGTAAACATTCTACACGCTGTGAAACCACATACAGACATGTTCTTTCAGCTTTCTTCGAGCAGCAATTAAGTTTGAATCTAATTATACTTTGATATATTCAACGCCATGTCCACGTAAGAGGCGATATTTTGTACTAGTTGGTTCCATGGCAGAGCAGAGCTGTTAAAAGCCCAAAAAATCCCATTTTTAAAACTCGAACTTTAACATCCCGTTCTCTGAACCATTGTGTTTCACGAGAACTTCATTGATCTGAGATGCAACAAAGTAATGTCATCGACACATTATCTTGTATTTGGCAATACGCGATGAGTCACGCCTCAGAGAACTGCTTTGCGTAAAGATCAGCCCACATGCATTGTTCGAGCGACTGCGAAACAACATTGGGTTCCGGATTAAACTTTTTATCTTTGGTAAGTCTGAGTTTAAGATGACCAATCAATTTGGAAAAAGCGTAATTAAAACACAACCGAAGAACGTTAACAATTTACTATTTATATATATTTTTTGGCACTGGCTATGTGGCGTTTACCTAATGTCGATCATATTCTTGCCGAATGACGTTACGTTTTAATCGATAAAGAGGGTTTTCCGATTGAGCGCGCGGAATCCAACAAAGTCGCAAAATCAGCCTCGTCGTCAACGAAATTAAGTCAGTTAACAGGTTTACGAAATTTACGTAATGGCCGGCAACGAAGCCAACTGTCCGTTAACACTATGTACATTATGTATACATATAAACTAGTGTATAAAACTATATGACACTTGTGCTGTACAAATATGTAGCCATACACAGAAAGAGTGAGATGTAACAGATACGTACCATTTTGTCCTTTTGCCTAGCAGAGGTCGACACAAATATGCATGTAGGATTAGCTATACTTCGCAATCAATCAATACAATCCTTTCTTAGACGTATCTTACATACAGTACACACGTACTAAAGATAATTAAATCTTGATAAGTGTAAGCTATATTTCAAGCAATCTCAATAACTTCCTGTATGTGTTTATGTATTAGAAAATAGGAAACTCACAATGTGGTTATGTTGCGAATGGCGCGAAGTCTGCCGCCGAGGCTTACCTACCTACGCTGTCTACACTGTCTGTGGTATCCCATAGTGTGGGGCATTCCGTACCAAATTTATTAGAAAAATATCCGAAAACTTGACCAAACTATTCTTATATTAATTCTTACATTACTTAAGTACTCTTATTTTGTTTTAAATGTAATTTGTAATTTCTATCGTTTAAAAATTAAAAAATATTTCTTACAGGTGTAATTCAGATTAAACCAGTAGCCACTATTAATCATTTACCAATGGGATTTTGAAGTATAATCCATCATTAGTACAGAAAAAATATAATTTGTTCTTCAACAACAAAGTACTAAGTCATGATATCGGTACTGCGTACTGAGTCTGTACCAAATAGTCGATAAGTCGGTACCACATTTTGCACATCACTACGTCGCGTCGTACGCTGCAAAATATTAGTACTCTCTGCGCGGTGGCGCGCTATGCGCGTTTTTTCCCGCCTTTTTTAATGTCAATATTTTTTTTTATAAAATAGTGTTCATATTGATTGCATGCAAGTGTCAAATAATGTGATATTTTTTATTGTGTTTTGTGTAGATATAAAAAAATGTAAACAAATAACAAAACTTGTGTTTTATGTTCAAATTTTATTGTAGTGTTTACTTTAATGAATATGAATTTAATAGATATTTATAAAAGCCCAAAAAATCTACGAAACACCCGCGATATTCATCTACAATCACATTGAATTACCATAAAAATTACTGTAAAATTTTAACTCCGGTATAAAAATAAAATAGTGGGTTATAAATAATAAATCTATCTATACAAATAATGAAATTTTATATGTCTGACTGTCTTTAAATTCGCGTTTGTTTTGCGTAAAATTTAAAACGACTGGACCAATGTTATTCGGTAGCTAATGTGTCTGGAAGAAATTTAGTTTATTTTTTCAATTCTACGTGGCTCAAACAACTGCTAGATTTTAAATAATATTAAAAATATTCTCCAGTAGTTTCAATAACGTTATAAATGTCTCTGAGAATTTGTTTTTTTTATAACGATGTCATTTTCCATAGTGCATTAATGACTAGGCATAATATGCTTCGTCGTGTCTATGTTAACTCGTTTAATATGTTACATATAAATACAATTTATTTAAAACGGTAAAATAAAAAAGTAGGTTTCTTCTCATATAATAACACGAATTTATTGGTAAAAAAGTGACGTTTGATGACCCCAACATCAATTCACTAAGTGCTTTTTGTCTGATACAAGAAATGCTCGGGGCGTCGTTTAAATATATACTCACGCCATATTAAAACTATAATAAGGAAGACTTAGATTTAATTATTTAAAATTATTCTACGTATAAGTGGCACGAGAGAACGATTAAATTTCCCGCCAAAATTACATATATGTCATTTGTCAAAGGCAAAGAGTAATTAATTTATAAAGGTTGGTTATTTTACTTTATCTAGCCTATATTTGATAACTCAACACCATTTATTAAGAGATGATTTCACTTAAATACTTTAAATCCTGTCTGAAAATATATTTATTACCATTTTATGTCTAGATGTTTTGGTATGTCATATCGTTTTCATTTAGCAAAGGGTTCGGCTCGAGCAACCGGTCTCACCCTTATTTACAACTAATTTAAATAACTGGAATGTCGCTAATGTAGGCAAAGTAGGTACAGCAGGTGTATGATTAGTTCATAAAATAACTAGACTTTTGCATTTGTTTGTGTGTAAAGGAAATTTTAGACGCATTTATGCTTAAAAATATGTAAGCTTACTATTAAGGTTAATATACATTTGAAACGCAATTATAATTTAATAATTTTTAGGTTCAGTAAATTAGTTATTGCCCACAATTCTGTCCGTAAATTAAAAAATAATTAGTAGCCTATGCGTTCATCAAAGCTATGCCTAATTTCAGTTAGATCCATGCAGACATTCTAGAGATATCTTATAACAAACATCCATCCATCCAAGATAACAAGCAACACCAGTTATATCAGTTCTTTTGAAAATAACAATGTTTCCGTAAACGTTTCGTCAATGTAAACTCAAATTAACCGGCACGTGCTCGCAAGATAACAGAAGTCAGTATACTTGACCCTGTAAATTGAGTCATTGCTTTATAAAGCATTTAATAATAAAATGTTCACTTGTTGCGATCTGTAGGACATAGGTTAATGGACATAGGAAGAAAATCGCTACTCTTGCTCTATGTCAAATAGGCTTGTTATCTCAAGCTTTTAGAAGCGAAGGAAAGTGATGAAAAATTTTATAGTTTTTTCCTAGTATTTTAAACAATATTTAGAATACTTTGTCGCGAATGGCGCGCTTTGGTTACCAAGTCAAGTGTCAGATAGATGTAGTGAGGGGACATAAACGTCGATATTTAAATAAGGCTTGTGTTGCGCTGATATGTACATCGGTACAGTGTCGGATTTTCGTGCTAACTGTATAAAATTCATTGTAAATGACTACAATATCTGGTCACGCATTGGTCATAATGATACTATCATTAGAAAGTAATTACAAGTTCAATTAAGTCGTTTTCGTCCCGTATCATATACAATTTTAGAAGCACTGGATATGTTAGTTTGGTTTTAGTAAACTGGAATGAATCTATACTAATATTATAAAGCGGAAGAGTTTGTTTGTTTGTTTAAATGTGCTAAACTCATGAGCTACTAGTCCGATTTAAAAAATTCTTTTTTTGTTGGATAGTCCATTTATAGAGGAACGCTTTAGGCTAACATTACGCTGCGACCAATAGCTTTTTTTATTTCCGCTCGAACAGAGTCGCCGGCGACAGTCAGTATGTAACTTAATAAAATAATATAAATCATCTTGACGGTTTACAGTGATTTTAACGTTTGTTTTAACGAGCAGTGCCGCTTCTTTAGTGTAAGAACATGAGGGAAACATTTAATTGGTGGTATCCTTTATTGCACAACTGGTCGATATAATTACATGCACTAACGAATAAAACTCGTAGTAAACCTTAATTTAAGTTTTCTTTAAGCATTTAAATTAAAATGTCAGACGTTCACCAATAACTGATTCACCGAATATAAACATTGAAATTTATATCTTACTAAAAGAAATCATTTAAAATATAAATCCTTCAGGAAATGACGATAGGAAAATTTTAAACATAAAAATATAAGTAAAAGTCCGTGCACATTTATATGACCTTGAAGAATTCGGCGCCAAAGAAGCCTACCTGCAAGCTAGGGTTGTCACCTACAGGTTTACATGCTTAGAACTCGACACACAACGAAGGCTTCAGGTTAATTTAGAAATCCGGAATCGTACGAACAACGCTCGGCAGTCGCGTCAGAGCGAGACAAACGTATGGGAATACATGAGAACGCTATACTATTATGACGTCATCGTCGGACAGTTCCAACTGTTCGTATGATTCCGGCTTACGCCTAAATGAACTTTTAGTACCGAAATGGCTGATATCAATCAAGTGACAGTCGTATTATCTTCGTCGTTCATTAAGAATCAAGGCTGGACATAGGTTTTTTTCGTCCGCTAATTAGGAGATTATGTAGATAAAGCACTGGATGTAATTTTGTTTTCTGCGTATGAATTTGGTTAAGGTTGACAACCCTAATTGCAACCCGTTTGCACAGTTTGCGCACCATTTTTTACAATTTTTTTTGGGTCAAAATAAGATTTGTTATTGTTGATTATATCAGTAATATTTGATCAGGTGTGTGATTTCACAATAATGCTGTTATTCTGATAAGCAGTTACCGCAAGCCCATCACTTATTGGGATGCGGTGTGGCGACGGCGGTCAAATCGACCTTACCGTCGGGTCGTATTAGACTTTGTCGCTCATATCTCCGGAATTAATTTGCATAGACATATGTGTAGGTGATACGTGATATAGTGTAATATGTTACCGTCATATCTTACTAAAATTATAATTGAGAATGTTTAGATGGATGGATGTTTGTTAGAAGGTATATTAGTTAGGTAGGTTAGTAGGTCTGACTGTATGGATCTAGGTAAAATTTGGCTTAGATGCAAAACATAGTCTGTAAGAACTCATAAGCTACTAATTAAGCGTCAATAGCTTAATGGTTAAGGGTATGGATTTCCGATCACAAGGTCGGGGGCTCGAATCCCGCCATACGACTATTGTCGTAAACCATATCCTAGCACAAGCCTAGAGATTAGTTGGAATGGTAAAAGAAATATTAGTAAATTTACAAAAAAATCTGCTAATATTAAAAAAAAAAATTAAATACGTTCGAGTCGAGTTCGGGCGACAATTAGTAAAACGAAAAAAAAACCGAGCAAAGTCAAGACGGAATTTTGTAAATAATTTGTTCTTATTATATTTAAACTAGTTCCCTACGGAGTTTATTTATAACTTTAATGGAAATTTTCTCACGAGTGCAAAACAACAGTGTCTTCTCAACCGCGTGTGATTGGAGTTCATGAGAACTATTATTAAAGATCGTTAGTTCATTGCCTTCTGAAACTTTGAACTCATATTAATGATATGAAAAAATATATATATTGAGAGGTTTCGGGATTTGATTCTATCTGTGGGCGCGACAGTGCCCCTAAAAAAAGCAGTAAAAAGCAAACAATGTATAAGTATTTTCTTGAAATGCGACAAATTAAAAAGGAATTTCTTTCTGAGTTCTTAATAGATTAGAATTTATTAATTTTTTAGTAAACTCTAAGAATGTAAGTTGTAAAACAAGTTATCGTGAAGTTGTGTACGTGGGCAGACATGCGGCGTCTTAGACCTCGTTCTAATCAGATTAGTGTTGTCTTCGAACACCGCACTGGTATGCACGACGTACAAGACGTTAATATATCTATTTAAACATTGTACCCAAATATCTGATCCTGAAACCTATATAAATCGAATAATTTTCTAGCGCTCAAGACAAAGAAATAATTACCAGTTAAAAAAAAAGTTTAAAATAACTAGCAGTGTTATGACTAAATGTGATATAAAAATTGCAAACAAAATACTATTAGGAGGTTCCAAGATTTAAATAATTCATATTGAGATTGAATAAAGAAATTAAAACTAAACCAACAAAGAACAAGGATAACCAAAACATAGCTTACGAAGAAAATAAGAAAATAAAACGACCAGAAGTTACAATAAAATTGTGTACAAGAAATGTCGGTATAAAGTCATCAAGACGACAGCTTGTCATAAGCTGTATAGCATCCAGCTGTTGGAATTTGATACTTCGCCTACATCTAAGTCTACGTAAGTTGCTGCAGCTGTGGGTATGTTGGGAAAATTTCGTGCAGCAGCGCGTCAGGCGCGACTTACAGAACGAGCTGTGGAAGGACGCAAGCTGTCTCCTGCTGCAGCTCCTGAACACGCGTATGATGCCGCACATTACTTTGTTGAAGATGTCGCGGATCCTTGGGGAGAGGAAGGTTAGAAGACTGGAAATTTGTCTTAAAGTATTTGCACGTCGAGAATACTCTTGTGCCTATAGTATAATCCTTTATGAGGAACAAGATACAAACAGATGTAAATTTGTTTTTTCCAGTTTTGTAGATAAAAGGCAAAGGACATATAGAGATTAAATAATATAATTATAGAGGTTTTTATGTAACATCTTTGGAGATGAGATCATCTCTTAAAAAGACATGACATTATTCAATGAATCCATTATTAAGTAAAATGAATAAACAATATTAATGCTATATTATATTAGTAGGATGTCATTTTGAATGTGTTACATTAACATGACACGTCGGGTGCAACTGCTAGTTAAGAATGTTGAGGAAACCGGTTACTAGAATTGGCCGGTGTTGTTGACTGCAAAATTTATTGGCACACACATTATTGCCTTTCAACACAAAATAACTTTTTTTTACCGTTCCGATGTTTTCTTCTCACGGATATAACTGTTTTAAGTTACAAGAGACATGTTGTTTATGTGAATGTAAATATTTTAATTATTGGACTTGACTTATAAATATTTAAATATTATGACAGACGACCATAGAGTCGTATCTTTATAAGCTGTTAAGGAACTGATTTTTTTTGGTTTATATTGTACAGTTTTGTCAAAGACAATGACATGTTGAAGCACAAATATAACACCAGTGGAGTCCTACTCTTATACAATGAAAAGTATCGAAGTATTTATCATTGTGTTTGTTATCAGATGCTATAGAGAGGGAACGCGTGTCTCAGCACTTGGCACTGCGTGAGCTGGTGTCGCGCGGCGATGCGGCTGCGCTGCGGGCGCGGCTGGCTGCGCTAGGGCCCGCTGCGCCCGTGCTCGCCAACCTCACCCCGGCCGGCGCTAACACCCTGCTATATGTGTCAGTACAAACATTAAACAGTTCTACATGCCCTGTCTCCTTTCTATTAAAAATAGTGGGAAAGGGAACAGAGCTATAATTTGAACAGCGGGTATAGTTCGCACTTGTTTATTGTCTTTTGTGAGCGGGACGTTCGTGCTGAGCAGATCATTATCACTGTTAAGGTAATGTTTTCGTGTAGTGCTTGTGAGAGTGGTTCCGCGGCGTCCGCTGCGGCGCTGGTGTCTGCGGGCGCGGACGGGCGCGCTCACCCCGTCACAAGATACGGCCCGCTCTACATCGCCTGCTACCACGGACACAAGGACATCGCAACCCTCCTGCTCACACACTTCCCGGAGGCCGTACAAGTGAGTGAGACGCACTGCATCTAATATTATAGTCTTTTAAAGTCCAACAAGGATCTTGTGACTTTGGCATTGACGTTAAAACGTTTCCAGCAAGAGACGGTGGAGAAGTGGTTGCCGCTGCACGCTGCGTGTATCGGCGGTCACGCTGCACTCGTCACGCTGCTGCTGGAGTACCCCTACCCTGACAGGCTGCTCAACACGTACACGTAAGATACTCCGTCGATACAAATTGTCATCTCTTTCACTCACTGTGTATATGTATATAGAGGCTTCTATATGTTACATATAAAGGTATTTCTCAGTGCAAGAATCTATAACATCTGTCAATGTGTTCCTCATGTAAGTATTATAAAAACAGCTATTGTTAATTGATAAATATGAAGGATATTTACTTTCCTATTGAATAGTTGATATGATGATATGAAAGGTATTTCTTCACGTTATATTTTGTTGTGTTTTGTTTAACAAAGGGAAGAAATTATGGAATGCGTTTGACATATTCAATTATATAACAAATTAAAGTCAACTGTAAAGTGTTTATATTCCTCTTATATAGTTTAAGTCGTAATTACGTATTACAAGGCATTTGTAAAGTCCCGGTTGTATGATGTACAGAGATGCGTCAGGTCAGTGGCGGTATCGGTTCGCGTTCGACGTGAACGCGCGAGACGCGAGCGGTCAGACCGCGCTGTACGTCGCCTGCACGCTCGGCAACGCCGCGGTGGTGGAGGCCCTGCTCGCCTTCACCCTGCCCAGGGAGAGGGTGCCCAGAGAACAGGTTACGACTTTATGGATTTTGTGAATTAACAATCAAATGTCTTCTATAAAAATCAATCGCTCTGCAGACTGATGTAGGGGAGGAGGCGAGCGAGGCGGCGGTGAAGGGTGCGGTGGGTGCGGCGGGGGCGGCGGCGCCGAGCCCGCACCGCGCTGGCATCTCACTCGGTATACACGCTATAGTCAGCAAGCTCACCGGCAACAGCAAACAGGTAGCTTACAGACTTTTAATAAATCGTTCTCTTCTTTAGTGTTGTTTTATTTATAGTTGTGTGTGTGTGTATGTGTGTGTGAGCAGGGTACGTCGGAGGCGGAGTGCCGCGTGCGTGCGGTGCGGGTGGAGGTGCCGCGCGGCGCGGACAGCTGCGTGGCGGCGGCGGTGCGCGGCGGACATCTGCGCGTGCTGCGCCTGCTGCTCGCCGCCGGCGCCTCGCCCGACAGCACCGCGCAGCCCCCGCACAAGGTCGCACGCTGAATGTCCTCTATGTGTCCTTCGTGGCTTCCATTTCTGTCTTTGTCTGATTTCACTGTAATATTACAGGAGGAGAGCGAGACGCGAGACCGACGCCGGTCTCGGAGTGCGTCCGCCGCGTACAACCGCGCCTCCGCCTCGCCATCCCCCGCTCGTCCTGGATACGCAGACGATCGTAAGTTACTTACGTCGCTGTGGAGTTCTTTATTAAGATGGTCCTTCGAGCAGGATAAAAAAATCGCAAATAACGTTGTATAGGTGATAGCGAGGGAGTGTGGACTGCGCTGGCGCTTGCGGCGCTGCGTCGCTCCGTGCCCGCGCTGGAGATGTTGCTGGCGGCGGGCGCCACGGACCCCGGCGGCCGCGCGCTGCCGCTCTGCGCACAGCACGGCCTCGCCGAGCCCCTCGCCGCACTGCTCGCCACTAAAGTATACAAACGATTCTTTGTCTTTATACAGATGGAGCGATTTGCTAAAATAATAGTGTCGTGCGTATGCAGGCGTACCCCGACCCCGACTACAAATTGAACAAGTCGGTGATGAGCGAGTCGGTGCTGAGTTCCCGCGACGCCGACTCCGCGCTCTCGTACAGCGCGCGCTGCCCCACCACGCCGGTCATGCTCAACTGGCGCGACCTGCGCTGTCAGCTGCCCGCCATCAAGTGAGGACACGCCCACATTTAGAGCCCCGCCCACTCCCAGCGAGCAACGTGTAACAGTTGTGCGTTGCAGGATGAGCTGGCTGCGCACTGCGGCGCTGCGGGTGAACCCCAAGCTGAGCGCGTCCTGCGGCGGCGCGCTGCTCGCCATCACGCGGCTCGAGCTGGCCGGCAACGAGCTGCGCGAGCTGCCCAGAGAGATCTTCTCACTTGTCAGCCTCAGGTCACATATACACATGTGTACTGCGCTCACAACACTCTGAAACTTTTACATACATTCAATAATGAAAGTAGTCAATATATTGCAGGTACTTGAACGCAGCTCAGAACAAGCTGGAGCGGCTGCCGAGCAACGGCGACCCGCTGGAGGAGGAGCTGGATAGGTCGCGGCGCGGCAAGCGACCCGCGCGAGCCGCAGGAGACGTCTACACCGCGCCCGTGCTGCAGGAGCTCTACCTGCAGGTGACCACCACCACAGCCGGAACAGCCGGAGCCACTAGAGCCGGAAGTATAAAGTCATGTTGCCTAGGACAACCGTCTGGAGGAGGTGCCGGCCGCGCTGTTCTCTCTGCCGGCGCTGGCCAGCCTCGACGTGTCCAACAACAAGCTGCGCGCGCTGCCGCCGCAGATGTGGGCGGCGCCGCGCCTGCGCGACCTCAACGCCGCGCTCAACCACCTGCGCGACCTGCCCGACTTGCGCGACCTGACCGCCGCCTGCAGACCACACGTCAGTGCATACAACATCAAACAATACACAAACACATTCATAGCTTACTGAGTAACGTTTATGTGTGTGCAGGGTTCTTCTGCCACACCCGGTTCCCCCGCGGAGACGCCGCACTCCCCGCAGCTCAGCGCCTCCCCCTCCACGCACAGCGGCCAGTTCGCGCTCGGCAGCGCCTCCGCATTGCAATCTGTAAGATGAACTGTACATTTCCATCTTGTTAAAAATATGATAAATAAAACTCACTATCTATTTCTTATTTTTCGTAAATACAGAAATCATCGTCGCGCAGTCCATCTATAGAGGGCGTTGAGGGCGTGGCGGAGGACGACGACGAGGCCGCGCTGCCCATCGGCAACCGGGCGGGCAACGCCGTGTGAGTACAATTGTCTTTGATACAATACTTCAAAATCCGTGTTGGTTCTAATGATGTGTCGTCGTACAGATGGTCGGAGGCGCGGCGTGCGCACGCGTGGCGCGGCACGCTGCAGGCCTC